ATCGCAGGGTGACTGATGTCACGAGGAAGGGGCCATCCAGGTCCAGTGTCAGACTGCCATTGCAGATAGGGCCAGGGCTGGCTTCAGGAAGAGCACAGGTCTGAGGGCAGGGGGCTGCTACTCTGCCAACCAGCTGGGTCACTGGTGGGAGGCAGAAGCGAGGGCGTCCTCCTGGGTCATAGCACGGGTCTGAGGTGGCCTGGGTTAGGAAAAGCAAGAGGACGGAGACAATGGGCATGGCCTCAGGAGAGCTGGCACCTGCAGACAGAGGTTGCAGAGGGGGCCTCAGTCAGCCTGCACCCTGCCGAGGGTCCCTGTGGACCCTGCGCCCCTCCCAGCCCTGAGCCCCTCCCCAGCTGCCTCGAAGCAAGGAAAATAGGTTCCATCTGGGGAGAATTACTGTTTACATAACCCAGAGGGAAAAGAACGCAGGCAAAATTGAGAATTTTGCCTGAACTAATCCAGAGCTTAACACCCCAAAGTTATCCATCAGTGTGGAGGCCCTGGGGAGAGGGTGAGGGGCAGACGAGGAACCAGCAGATGTGAAAATCTAGAAGGATGAGTCAAGGAAGAGATGGAGGGCATGGGTGAGGGAAGAAAGACACAGAGAGAGGAGGCGGCCACACAAACCTTGGGGAAAGCCGGAGGGATAAAGCGGGGCAGAGGACGGGGCATGGGAATGGGTAGCTGGGTGGCATGACGGTAGGAGCGTGGGGGTGGGTGGGACAGAAGGACAGGTACGCTCAGGGACTCTCAGGAAACCCTGGGGACAGTAAGGAGCCTCAGAGGGAGGGGGGCCAGCCGGGCAGTGCCCAGTAGGAGATCGTCGGCAGAGGCCAAGGCCTTGGCCCATTGCACCACAGAGCGGGATCCTTTCCCACACGGTTCTAACTTTGTTCTCCACACCCAGGGCACACAGCAGCGAGGGGATTGTTGCCAGCAGCCCTGGCCTCTCTTACCTACCCCAGCCCTCTACCCTTAACCCTTTCCCCTCCAGGTGTACAGCCAGAGAACAGAGCTGAGGGAAGGATGGGGTGTGGGGCCGGAAACCAGTAACACCACTGAGATGGAGAGCAGAGCCCCTGTGGTAGGAAAGGCAGAAACCTGGACTTCCTGTGGGACTCAGGGTTCGGGACCCAACAGTTATGTTTCTGGAATTTTCTGGGCAGGGACCCCACCTGTTACCCCAAATCTCAGACTTGGATCCAAATTACCACATTGGCCACGGTATCCAGGCCCTCGGAGCAGATTGGGGAGCTGACGTTGGGGTCTAGATAATATGGGAGGAAAGACAAAAGGAGGTGCCAGATGTCAGGGCACGTAGAAACCAGAAATCCAGAGTCCGGGGAATGTTAGGAACCAGAGGACTAAGCCTTCCACTCCCACTCAGGACTGGGCTCTTGGGATTTTTCTGACCCCCGCCCCCGCATGAACCCTCACCTCTGAATCTGCACCTAGGCTGAGATCTACACAGCCGGGCACTGCCTTCCCACACAGGATGCTCCTGTCCAGACCATGGGCCTGGTGGGAGCCATTATGTAGCCGTAACATAGCATCAGCCAGCTTCCCTAAGCCCTAGCCTCTCACGCTCTCACGCTGGGTAATTTCAAGGTCCCACCGTTGGGTTCCTAACACCATGGAGTACCAGGCTATGAGTTTGTTCTCTTACATTCTTTGGAGACAGGCAGAAACTGGCCTCAGCCCGTCTGGGCCTCCAGCCTCCCTACCTCTCAGTGGCTGGCCCAGCCAAACCCCACAGGCCCAGTCAGCCTTGCTGGGCCCGTGGGGTCTGTAAGAGACCCTTTCTGCCTCCCCCGCTTTGGCATGCATCTCCCACCTGGCTAGTAGGGCCCAGCCATTGGTCAAACCTGCCTGGAGAAGAGGGGAGTGTGGGCGGGCGTCCGTGCTCTTCTGTAGGAGCAGCGCTGTGGTGGGCTCTGAGGAAGAATGACAGAGGCTGTTGTCAGGCCAGGCTGGTGGGGGCTCGGGGCGGGAGCTCAAAGCAGAGCCCGCAGAATCCAACACCACTGCCCGCCCCAAACCCTGACCAACGGCAGCCACGCTTTCCCCACAGGGACCCCTGCCAGCCACGCCACCAGACTCTGCGAGGGACAGGAGCATTGTCGCCCCCAGGAGGCTTGCAGCCTGGAGGCCCGGAACAAACTGGCTTAGAAGGATCTGCCCAGGTAGGGAGAATACAGCTGTTGGTGGGGTCCTGGCCGGTTCCCACTTGCTGTAGACCCTCTTCCCTTGGGAGTCTAGCTTGCTAACCCCCTGTTTCTGGCTGACCCCCAGCTAGTCCCCGTCCCGCAGGCTCCTACCACATGTGGGTTAATTCAGGGTTAAGGTCAGACTGGCCGCACAGGAAACCAGAGGCCAGTGCTGTGTGCAAGGGAGGCACTAAAAATGTCTCCACCCTGGTTGAACTCGGGGAGGAGGAGAAGGTAGTGGTGTTCGAAGGCAGCCCAGCAACTGCTGTCCAGGACCCCAGGGCTTCTAGCGGCATGCTCACACAGCCGTCATGTTCTGAGTGTTGTGGCTTCCCTCTGAGCAAGACGAGGGTTCGTGCGGTTTGTCCTAGAGCATCCTCCCATTCACAGCGGCCATTGGGTAGAGCTGGCCCAGGACAAGACTCAGGGACCTTTCGTGGGAGTGAGAGATGCCTGATAGTGGCTCCAGGTGACCCTGGAGGCTGGGGACGAATGAGGGAGGACAAGATCCAGAGAGCTTGGAGGTGCAAGAGACGCCTGGGGCCAGCGGTTCCACATCAGAGGACATGTCCCCAGCAAGGGCTGTGAGTAACAGGTGGCGCGGAACACGGTGGATACAGCATGTCCCCCCCCCCCCAGGTCTGCCCCAGCCTTGGCCTGTCAGGCCACCTGCTAGACAGACAGGAAGCTGACCTGTTCTGTAGACAACTAGGTATGGTTTGCTGAGCAGGGACAGGAGCCGTGGCTTCAAAGCAATGGCCATGGGAAGAGGACCTCGTCCTGCCTGTCAGGGCATCTGTAGGACCCTCCCTGACTAGCGCCGAGAGTCCTAAGTTGTCCCCAGAGGAACCGTTTTTCATCACTCGCTCCTGGGTAGCTGAGCTGGCTAGGAGATTGTCACCCAGAAGACAGCCGCAGTGGAATGACAGAGGCCAACGGCAGTTAGAAGCCGCCATCACCCACGAAGTGGCTGCTCCCCAATTCAGAGGAATGTGGGAGCGCCCCAGGACGGGGACCGTAACCCTCACGGGGCCTGGCTTCAGGAGAGTTCGGGCCCCTTTGCCCACCACTCTGACTCCGGTGGAAGGTCTCTGTGGGCAGCTTTAGGCCTGCAGCCTTCTGCTCGGTGGGTTTTCTTGGTCTTGAGGCGCAGCAGCCTCCAGAGGGCACTCGAGAGATGGCAGGATGGAAGCTAGGCCGTGCCTCAAGATGGCGGCAGCAGGACACTTCCCAAACGCGCATCCACCAGGAAGTGCTCCCAAGGCCACACCGGCTCCCAAGCTGCACCCTGCCTGGAGCTCTTTCTCCTCTCCCTGGCCAGGTTCTCTGTCGCTGCTCTGCTCCGTGGCGCTCTGACTGTTCTGGGAGCTGTAATTCCAGGTCTGCAGAGAACCAGGGGATAGGAGAGGAAATGATCGGGATTAAAAAAAAAAAAAAAAAAGGGTGTGTGGGTTGGTGGTGGCTGGGGTGAGCTCAAGTAGAGCCAATTTGCTTTGTGGTAAGTGCAGCAGTGAAGTTGTGTTTCTGCTACACGTGGTGTGTGTGGTGTTCAGTGTCCTGACCTGGCCAGGGACCTAAGTTAAACTTAGTGATAAAGCAAGAGGCTCCGGGGTGTGGGAATAAAAAGGGGTGAGGCAGCCACCCAGCCCCGAGGCTTACAGGAGGAAGCAGGGCAAGCAGCTCTCTGTGTGGGGGACGGGCCCTGGGGGAGCTGGAGCCTGACAAAGGAAGCGTTGTCCGCCTGTCCTTTGGTGGTGTGTCAGTTTGTTTTCTGCTGCTGTGATAAACACCGACCAGACTTGGGGAGGAAAGGGTTTCTTTCAGCTTCAAGTTCATAGTTCACCACGAAGGGAAGTCAGGGCAGGAACTCAAGACAGGCACTCGGAGGCAGGAAGTGAAGCAGAGCCGCCTCCATGGAGGACTCTGCCTACTGGCTTGCCCTCTGTGGCTTGCTCAGCCTGCTTTCTTATACCATCCAGGACCAGCAGCTTGGGGGGTGGCGCTGCCCACAGTGGGGTGGGGCCTCTTGTAATCATTAATGATAAAGTACCCCATAAACTTGCCCACAGGCCATGGGATAGAGGCCTTTTCTCAATCGAGGTGTCCCAGATAACTCTATTTATTCCAGCTGACCGAAGCACAACAAAAAACAAGCTAACTAACCAACAGAGGTGAGCCCAGACAGGCGCAGTGGTGCCACGGCAAAACTCGCAGGTTAGAACGCCTTGTCTCCTCGGTGAGGGCCCACCCACTGCACAGCCCCCAGCACTGACGGTCAGCAGCAGGGGCAGAGGACAAGGTGCAGAAATAAAGCCCTTCACACTGCTGCCGGGTTCCCGAGGTCAGGGGCCGCCCGGGACCACATCTGACCAGGCAATGCCACCCAGACAGGTGCCCAAGGGAACAAGAGTGTCCACATGGACACTTGTGAGTCACGTCCATCCCAAGCAGGAAATGGAAATAACCCATGCGTGCTGGTGTGGTGCAGGCCGAACATGCCTTTTCTACAGAGCAGATCGGTGACAGAGCTACAGCTTGGGTAGGAGTCCGCAGGCCCAGTGCTGTATGTGTCCACAGACTAACCATGTGGCTTAGCAAGTCACAGAGACAAGGCTGCCGTAGTTGAATAAAGTGGGAGGTGAGTCAGCACCAGTGGACAGTCCTGGAGATGAAGCCGGTGTTTAGCCAGCGCTGAGCACACTAAAAGCCACATCCAACACTGCCATGGGTGGATTCTGAGGTATCTAAACTATTTCTCGGTGAAACGATTACCCGAAAATAGGCTCACCGCAGACCTACCTACAAAGGCCAAAATGGGTACTGCAGAGTGTTCCAGAAACGGGCCCCGCCCACCCCAAGCCCCGCCCACCCGCAGGCGGTGCTTGCTGCACTGGTCACTGGCTCTGGCAGGTACAGGGCTACCTGGGTCAGGAGCTCTAGGCACTTGAGTCTGTTATTACACTGACAGTGAAAAAGTGAGAAAGCCCAGTGCTCATGGCACTGTGGACCGTGGCTTCCTACAGAAGAGGTTAGCAGTGAACTCAAGTCCGCAGGAAGCCAAGCCGCACACAACAAACCTGACCTGTCCAACCGCAGCCCTGCTCCTGGCCGCCATACCACACTGATGCACAGTTCTCTTCCACCCTGCCGTGCTCTCCGAACCCACCAGCAGCTGGCACATGGTGGAAGTACTCTTTCCTCGTGGGCTGGGCATGATGGGAGGATCCTAGTCCAGGACCCCAGGGGCCATCTGAAACCACAGACACTGCACGGTCCTATACACGCTCTCATTCCCATAAATTCCCATGGAGCCCATAGAGCAGGCCCAGTAAGAAACAACTCAGTTTGCAGTGCTGAAAGAAAAGCTGCCCGCGTGGATGCGATCTCCCTGTACTCCGCACACCCTGTGGCACTTTAGCTTTTCCCCTTAAAGAAACTTTTTATAGCGCCTCTCTGGCAGGCATATCCTGTCTCCATCATTTCCCTGGCATATCCCGTCTCCATCATCTCCCTGGCATATCCCGTCTCCATGAGCGTTGTTCTGTTCCTTTGGAGTCACTGTGATGTGAGCTAAGGTTTGTCTGAACCGCACTTCTCTTCAGAGGAGACTCGGCTCTCAGGAGCTGAGTCCCCCCTGCCTCTTTATGGCATCCAAGCATTGAACTCAGGACACCAGGCCTGCCTGGAAGGACCCACTGGCTGAGTCATCTCGCCGGTCTGACCACTGTAGCTCTAACAATGGGCTGGATATCAGCCAAGTGACTAAAGCATGCAAAACTTACAGCTGGATACGCTGGACCAAGGATGGCTCACCAGAGGTGGGGGTGGGCTAGGGTGGGTGTTAAAAGATTCCCCCATCCTCAGCTTAAAACATAAAACATAGATTATTTATTTCTGGAATCCTCCATTTAATATTTCCAAGCCACACTTGACCTTGTTAAGGAACTGAAACTCTACAAGGTCAAACTACAAATAAGGAAAAGCTACTGTATCACATTTAGTTTTCATGTACACCCTGAGGTAGCTTTTAGGTCCATAGAAATGGCTGCAATCAGGTAAGATATGGCTAACCAGCTGTTTCCAGCGGTTCTGTCTAGTCAGGTGACCAAAAGGGTCAGAGAGGCACAGTCAGCTGATGAAGGATGGGGCTGGCCCAGAGCCGGACAGAAACACTCTGAGTGGCTGCTGTGCTTTCTGGGGCTCCCACCACAGTTCAGACGCTGACCCCCAACCACGCCTACTGACTCCTGCCTTCTCTTACAGCTCCCCAAGGACTCAGGGCCACCTGTCCACACCTCTCCACCTTCTACGTCCTTTTTGTGATCTTTGTGTTCTCCACCACCTTCTACTGCCACCGGCGCCTGGCTCTGGTACCTGCACCCTGGGCTTCTTCAGCCCTCGTGGTCTTAGCCCCAAGAAACCTGCCCCAGGAGGGCATGTTCACCATCAATTCCATTGGCCGCCTGGGGAACCAGATGGGCGAGTATGCCACGCTGCTCGCACTGGCCAGGATGAACGGAAGGCCTGCATACATCCCCGCATCCATGCACAGCACCCTGGCGCCCATCTTCAGGATCAGCCTCCCGGTGCTGCACAGCGACACCGCCAAGAGGATCCCGTGGCAGAACTATCACCTCAACGACTGGATGGAGGAGCGCTACCGCCACATCCCAGGGCGCTATGTGCGCCTCACAGGGTACCCGTGCTCCTGGACCTTCTACCACCACCTGCGGCCTGAGATCCTCCAGGAGTTCACCCTGCACGACCACGTGCGTGAGGAGGCCCAGGCCTTCCTGCGTGGCCTGCGGGTGCATGGGAGCCAGCCGAGCACGTTTGTGGGTGTCCACGTGCGCCGCGGGGACTATGTGCACGTCATGCCCAATGTGTGGAAGGGCGTGGTGGCTGACCGGGGTTACTTGGAACAGGCCCTGGACTGGTTCCGGGCCCGCTATCCATCTCCGGTCTTTGTGGTCACCAGCAACGGTATGGCCTGGTGCAAGGACAACATCAATGCCTCCCAAGGGGATGTGGTGTTTGCTGGCAACGGCATTCAGGGGTCACCTGCCAGGGACATGTCACTGCTCACCCAGTGCAACCACACCATCATGACTATTGGGACCTTCGGGATCTGGGCTGCTTACCTGGCAGGTGGGGACACCGTTTATCTGGCTAACTTCACTCAGCCCAACTCCCCCTTCAACGTGATTTTCAAGCCACAAGCAGCCTACCTGCCCAACTGGGTAGGCATTGCTGCTGACCTGGGACAGGGGAGCCTCTAGCCATGCCTCAGTCCGGCCCCCAGGAGGCACTGGAGACCTGCAGCTGTGTACACACTCGGGGTCCTACATGCAGTTTCAGGCCAGTCTTACGTTTCAGCTGAGCGATCGGGTCAGTGATGCCACCCTGAACATGTGAGCACCATCTAGGCTTACCTCAGCACAACGTGCACAGGTGACTTGAGTCCTCTATATCCAGAGAGAGTTGGCCGCCACAGCCCCGCCCCCCGCTGTGTCCGGAGTGCTCGCCCACGGGGGGGGGGGGCAGTGTCCTAGCTAGGGTTGTCTGTGGCTGTGATAAAACACCACGACAGTAAACAACTTGGGGAGGAAGGCGCTTATTTCAGCGTATGCTTCCGCAGACCATCACCCAAGGCAGTCAGGGCAAGAACTCAAACGGTAGGACCCTGGAGGCAGGAGCTGACGCAGAGGCCGTGGCGGGTGCCACTTACCGGATTGCTCCTCGTGGCTTGCTGAGCCTGCTGCCTTATGTGACCCAGGACCTGCTGCCCAGGGGTGGCACCACCCAGGGTGAACTGGCCTTCCTACATCCCTGGAGACAATGCAGGGGCACACCTCAGGGGGCGGTTTTTCAATAGATACCCTTCCAGAGAGACTCTAGTTTTGTCAAGCTGACACAGAACAAGCCGGCAGAGCCAGCTGCATCACCCACTGGGAGGCAGGGTCCTGGGAGGTGTTGGGTGACGGCACAGCTCCCGCCCCGGTGTTATGGGGATATGGTATTCCTTGCAGCTGGGGCAGTGGCCTTCTCAGGGAAGCGAAGGCAAGCTGAAGGGGCAGGTCTGACGAAAGTGACAGGGTCGTGGACGGCTCTTGTGGGGTTTATGAATCTCAAGTTTGAATTGCATTCATTAAATAAAAACAACCTTGGCTCAGGGCAGAGTCAACAGCTAAAGAGAGCCCAGAGGAGCCAGGAATATGTCTGGTTTGGGACTATATATATGTATGTATGTATGTATGTATGTATGTATGTCTGTCTGTCTGTCTGTCTGTCTGCTGTCTGTCTGTCTTGCTGGGCCTCCAGCCACAAAGCAAGGTCAGCTGGTTGCTTCTTGGCCTCTCTGATCTAGCAGGGTTTTACCTTTTGCCCCCACATCTGACTTCCCAGTCTTTGTTGATCAACAGAACCATAGAGACAACTGGGCATTGGTGGCCCACGCCTTTAGTCCCAGCACTCAGGAGGCAGAGGCCGGTGGATCCCAGTGAGTTCAAGGCCAGCCTGGTCTAGAAAGTGAGTTCCAGGACAGTCAGGACTGTTACACAGAGAAACTGTCTTGGGGAAACAAACAAACAAACAAACAAAAATCCAATATTTTAAACTTAGATTTCCTTCCAGGCTATGGTCTGAGTGGCCTGCAGGGCACTCACTACAGGGCTGTGGGGTCACTAAGCTAACAGGAAAACATCAGACAACCCCCTGTAGTGGGGGAGAGGCTACCAGAAAGGCACACGGCATCAGCAGGCCCAGTATGAGGCAGCAAACACTCCAGAACACAACTACCCAGGAAGCCTGACCCTGGCCAGCTGCAACTCTGTGGGCGGTGTCTACCCAGGCCCGGGCCAGCGCCTGGGCCTGAAGCTGTTCAGCTCCTGTAGCAGCTGCCTGGTCATGGCTTTCTGTTGCTGTCACCAAATCTCTGAATGTAGCCCCAACATCTGTGCTGGGACGCTAGGTACAGTGCAAACAAGAATCATAGCCTCAGACTCTTGTAAAGCCACCCCCTCCGCTGAAGTATGTACTCCCGGCCCAAACGCACACCGCATTCACAATCAGCATCAAGCATGTTTCCTCAGGACAGTCAAGCCACAGCATGGACACAGCTCCCAGTGAGCTTGGCACGGACATGTAGAAAGGCCCTGCCTACATGTATGTCTATATCCTGTACATGTCTGGTGCCCATGGAGGCCAGAAGAGGGCGTTGGACCCCCCCCCCCCCCGGGACTGCAGTACAGATGATTGTGAGCTGCCGGAGTTGAACCCAGGTCCTCCAGAAGAGCAGTCAGGGTTCTAGCTTCTGAGCCACCTCTCAGCCTTCTCGGGACACATTTTATCTTTGTGAGACAGGTCTACCAAAGAAGCCATGGCCGACCCTGAGCTCGCGCTTCCTGTCTCAGCCTTGGTGTAATGGGTAGAACGCATTTCCATTCCACCCCTGTGCGCATGGAGGGCTCCCCAGGGTGGGGGCTGGGCCTGCCGGGCCTGCAGGGCACTCAGCACTGCTGTCAGTGCCAAGGCTGATGGCCACCACTAGGGAAAAAACGGTAGCTTGGTCCCACAGAGAGACCCAAGAATTGACATCTTCTACCGCCTGGCCTCAGGAGTCCACCCTCCACATTTTCTCCAGCCGCACCATGCTCCTCAGAGCATTCTGAGGGAGGGAAGGCTTGGGGACCAGCTGGCAGTGGGGAGGGGTGGGGTGGGGGAGGGGGAGGGGGAGGGGTGCCCCAGATGCACCACAGGCTGGGCCTCAGTGAGGCGGTAGCACCCTGCCCTCCAGCATGCACTGGTCTCGGTCCTGGAGGACTGAGGTGAAGGCGAGGCCACTTTGTGCTGGTGACAGAGGGCCCACGTCCCAGCCATATGCGGCTGTCTTCATCTGTGCCTGTCTATATCCCCTCCGCTTTTGAGGGGAGGAGGGGCATGTTTCGAGACAGGGTTTGTCTGTGCAGCCCTGGCTGTCCTGGAACTCGCTCTGTAGACCAGGCTGGCCTCGAACTCACAGAGATCCGCCTGCATCTGCTTACCCAGCACTGGGATTAAAGGCGGGTGCTACCACACCCAACTGTGGCACAGGCTGGTCAAAGTAACCCTCCTGCCCAAGCAAGCCTGAGTTCGAAGATTGCAGCCAAACCCAACACACCTGGTTTTTGCCTTTACTCTGGTAGAGACTGGCGTCATGCTGGGTCAGAGGACACGCCACGCCCAGCACACATGCTGCTCTGACTTCGCTTTTAATTGCTTCCTCACATTTTGTGTGCGTGGGGAAGTGTTTCCCCACGTCCCTGTGATTCCCATGCTTAAGCTGCTCAGCCCAAACCTTCCTGTTGGGCTGAGTTGATGGGGTCCAGGTCAGAGCCGGAGAGAGAGAACTTGGGGTATTTATCTTGCCAGGGACAGTGCGTCTGTCCTCAGCTACAGCCATGCTAGTTTTCCCATGAGCTCGCTGTACTGGGGAAATCAACTCATAGTGAGACCGTCTCAGAATAGAGAAAGGAAGGAAGGGACGGAGGAAAGAGGGGAGGAAGGGAGGAAGGGAGGGAATGAAGGAGCCAGAGGGGAAGGAAAGTGGGGGGGGGGTCGTAAATTAGATCCCTGATTGACATTGCCCTCACTAATTTGCCAGAGCAGGGGGTGTGGACACAGGACATTTCCAGCACAGTTGCCTGGAGAACACAGCCTCGGTCACCACAGCCCGGCTGGGGCCCGGTCACCGTCCCTGCTCTGGCCTTGCACATCAGACACGATGCAGCAATAGATGTGCAGCTCTCCTAGGAGGTAAGCTGAGGACAATGGGGGCCGTATGAGGAAGGGCGCCTTGCCCAGCTCCGTGTTTGCTTGACCTTGCTTGAACAAAGATACAAACAGCTTTTACTTTACAAAAGCCCGAGCAGGGGCTGGTACCCTGCCAATGACAATAAACGCCACATTCATCCAGCAAATATTTACCCAGCTCTTAAGTGGGTCGAAGACGTCCCAGTCCCTCAGCAGGGGAGGGGGAGGAAACCAAGTGGCCAGGCACTGCCTAACCTGTGATGATGTCCTTACTTGAAAATAGTGTCACTGGTTAAGATGAAGTGACCCTTGACCCACCAGAGCTACTGACTACAGACAGGGAGAGTAAAGGCTGCATAATGGCAGACTAGAGGCCATCTTCTAAGAGTGGATGGTGTTCTGCAGCCCCGAATGTCCAGTTCATCTTACCCCAACCGGGCGCACGGGCCCTAAAGAAAAACACGTTGAGTACACAGCAAATGAATGATCTGCCTTTTGTGTCCTGGCTGACAGGCTCATAAAGTGTCTGCCATGTGCTTAGCTCTCAGAGGCCTTGGCTTTCATCCTCAGCAACACACACAACAAAGGTTAACTTCCTGTTTATCTTGGCTGAGGCCTGTCTTCCAGTCAGTACGTGAAATTAAATGATATGAGGGGTCTATTGGGTGAGTCAGGCAGGGTGTAACCCTAGCTGTACCAGGAAGCTATCTGAGCGTGGCAGGTTCTGCCAAGAAGGACCCAAGAACTTTTCCTTATGTGTAAGTGAGCTCAGTTTTTGTGCCCATGGAGGTCAGGATGTGAGTTTTCTGAAAGAAATTGTTTCTGGGCAGTGGTGGAGCATGCCTTTAATTCTAGTATTTGGGAGGCAGAGGCAGGTGGATCTCTGTGAGTTCAAAGCCAGCCTGGTCTACAGAGCCAGTGTCAGGACAGCCCAGGGCTACACAGAGAAACCCTGTCTTGAAAAACTAAAAAAGGATACAGAAAAAATTGCTGTCTAGAGCTGTCACTGCATCGGAGCTGAGCCTCATCCAGGTGGGGCCTTCCTGCTAGCGCATTCTGAGTAGCTCCGATTGAGCTCAATCGGAGTAGGCTCAAGGTTGAACAGTCCTCTCTGAATCTGCTTCATTCTTCCGGGAGAGGGCAGGTTGTGTGTGGGGTGTGTTCCCTGTGGCCCACATGTTCCTGAGTTACACTATGCAGTGTACAGGCTCTGCAGACCAGCTAGCTGTTCTATCCAGCTGCGCCTGTGTTATTTATGTGCTTCTAGAGAAATGACTGCACCTGGGAGCAAGAAAATGGCCCAGGCAAACAGACAAAACTTAAATGGCATGTCCAGTAGAGATCGGTAGAGATGGAAAGGTCTGTGGGTGCCAGGGACTGATAGGGACGGAGTTGTTTCATGGGCATACAGGTTTTACAAGACAAGGTACTTATAGAGGGTTGGTTGAACACTGCGCCTAGTGAACTATACTCTTAAACAAAATGGCCCAGAAAGCCAGG